AGTGTCAGTCACAGCTCCATGTCCTGGGGACACCCAGTAAGGGATGACAAGCCAACGAAGAGGAAAATAAGCTGTGGAGCGTTTACCTACAATGCTTGGGACCATCAGTCTTTTGGATTTCGCATCTCTTCAGATTTTAAAATATTTGCATTCGCATGCCCGTGGGCATGGGACCCCAGCCTAGAGAGGAAATGCAGGCACAAATCAAATTTTATTTGTTTGTTTGTTTGGGTGGTTTTTGAGATAGAGTCTCACTACGTAACTATGGCTGCCCTGGAACTCACTCTGTAGACCAGGCTGGCCTTGAACTCACAAAGATCAGCCTGCCTCTGCCCATGAGTGCTGGAATTAAAGGCATGTTCCACCTCTACCCAGAAAAATCAATTGAAAAAAGGGGGGGGGGGGGTTGAAATATTTTATTTATTTTCATTTTATGTGCATTGGTGTTTCGCCTACATGTATATCTGTGTGAGGGTGTCAGATCTTGGGAGTTACAGACAATTGTGAGCTGCTACATGGTTGCTGGGAATTGAACCTGGGTCCTCTGGAAGAGCTGTCAGTACTCTTAACCACTGAACCATGTCTCCAGCCCACGTTTATTTATTTCTAAGTGTGTGTGTGTGTGTGTGTGTGTGCTTGTGCACATGGGAACAGTGACTGTGGAGGCCAGAAAGGTTACTGGATGCTCTGGAGCAGGAGTTATGAGTGCCCAACATGGGTGCTGGGAACTGAACTCAGGTTTTCTGCAAGGGTCAAAAGCAACACCTGAGCCATCTCTCTGGACTAAAAGTCATCTTTGGTTTTTTTGACACAGGGTTTCTCGGTGTAGCCTTGGCTGTCCTAGACTTACTTTGTAGACCAGGCTGGCCTCGAACTCACAGAGATCTGCCTGCCTCTGCCTCCCTGAGTGCTGGGATCAAAGGACCTGAGTCTGAATCCCCAGAACCCATGTAAAGCTGGGCACAGTAGCACATATGTAAAAACCCAACAGGAAGCTCACGGGACAGTGGACCTGGCCTACATGGTAGCTAACAACAACAACAAAAAAATGAAACCCTGTGACAAACAAGGTAAGCTGACCTGGCCTACACGGTATCTACCAACAACAAAATGAAACCCTGTCACAAACAAGGTGGGAGGTCATGACCAATTGTCCATCTCCGACCACCACGTGTACAGTGTCACACACGCACACACATACACTCAGTTACCGAAACCAAGAGATTTACAGAACATTGTGAAAGTCTGCATTTCAAATATAACTCAGACACCAATTCCTGTCAAATGACCCCTTCCGGGGAGCTGCAAGGGCATGCCACGAAGGGGGTGATCACGTTTCCTAAGCATGTTTGTGGGGGCTATCAGAATTCAATTTGTGGAACCCCAAATTATCTTCATCGTTGAAACTAAAATTGCTCCCCAAGACACAGGAGCTGCATGCAGTGGCGAAGCCAGAGTCATCTTGGTTGATCTTAGGGTCTGTGAGGGAGAAGAGTCGCGTGTGCCTCACCAGCTCGGACAGAAACATGCTTTAAACGGCAACGCGGAATAACTCACCTCATCACCCTGTGATAAGTCACTCTCCTGGACTAAAAATCCCCAAACTGGTATCAAAGCAGGGATTAGGTAAGAGTCCACAAATCCATTAAGAACATAAGGTGAAACCAGACAGTGGTGGTGCACAACTTTAATCCTAGCACTCAGGAGGCAGAGGCAGGCCTCAGGATCTCTGAGTTGGAGGCCAGCCTGGTCTACAGGGCAAGTTCCGGGAAGCCCAGGCTACACAGAGAAACCCTGCCTTGGGTTGGGGTGAGAACCTGAGGTGGGCAGAAGAGGTAGTTCAGTGGGTAAAAGCACATGCTACCAAGCCTGACAACCAGGGTTCAATCCCTAAGATCCACGTAGTGAAGAGAACTGGCAAGTTGCCCTTTGACCTGCACAGATACTCATATGCATTGTACACACACACAAAGACATAGACAGACGGATGTAATCTGGAAATTTTAGAAAGAAAAATACAAGGTGCAGGGCGCAGTGGCACACTCCGGTAATCCCAGCACTCGAGGCAGAGGCAGGCAGATCTCTGTGAGTTAGAGATCAACCTGGTCTACAAAGTGAGTCCAGGACAGCCAAGGCTACACAGAGAAACTCTGTCCTGGGAGGGGGACGGGGGACAACTTGAGGGCTAGGGATACAATTCCATAGTGCCTAGGATACGAGAAACCCTGAGTTCAATGCCCAGTATTGCAGAGACAGAGACAGAGACAGAGACAGAGACAGAGAGGTGGATTACGGAATTAGCATTCTGTGGAGCTGGAGAGATGGCTCACTGGTTCTGAGCAGCTGGGTTCGGTTTCCAGCAGCTCAAACCCACCTGTAACTCCGATTCCAGGAGACCCAGTGCCCTCTCTGGACCCCAGAAGCTCCTGCACGCATGTGGTGCACATAATAACTTACACACATAAGTTAAAAAAAAAATAAAGTTTTTTAAAAGAACGAATGTTTCATTCAGAGACCCCAGAGTTAAACTTCTGAGCCAGAGTTCTCTCGTCTACGTGTGGGAAGAAATTTTCTCCTGTGACACCATTTTCACGTACCTGGATATACATAAATGCACATGAACTCACACACACACACACATACACACTTAAGAAACTTAAGAAGCTGGGCAGTGGTGGTGTGTGCCTTATAATCCCAGAGGCTGGGAGCCGAGGCGAGCAGGCCAGCCAGAGCCGCACAGAAGGGGACCGAACCACCGAAGCTGTCCCTGGGTTGTGCCTCTCAACCGGTGACAACAGGAAGACATCTATCTGAAGATACTGTTGCTATCATGCCCGAAGAAGCCCCCGGCACCAGGGGCACAGGCTGGAAGCACTCCTAAACCTTTTGCGGGGTGGGCCTGCCCCAGAGGTGAAGGAATGCCGCTGATGTTGAAAACCTATCTGGGCATCCTGCCAGGCCAGCGGCCTGTACAGAAGCTAGGCAGCCAGAGCCCGGAGAACCAGTTGCAAAATCTTCCTCCCACCACTTTAAGAGGCCGCACACTGAAGAGCGGGGATCTGGATCTAGACCAGCTGTATGTAACTGCAGTTACATCCATCTGAGCAGAGTTCCCCAGTTGCAAATGAGGACAAGAACAAGCTCCTGGGCTCAGTGTGGGGTCCATCGTACTTGTTAGCTAGCTAAATGATACCGCTATTCAGGGCTTTTCTCTGTGTAGCCTTGGCTGACCTGGAACTCACTCTGTAGACCAGGCTGGCCTTGAACTCAGAGATCTACCTGCCTCTGCCTCTGCTGGGACTAAAGGCGTGTGCCACCACTGCCTGGCTTATTTTATAGCATGGACTGCTTTTTCAAGTGATCAGAGGGCCTTTGTGCCTAGGCCTTTTTCTCCACTAAGTTAAAAACTCCCTGGAGACCCACTCACTAAGCCCCCACCCCCTCCCAGGTCCCCTCGCCCGCAGTGCACGCAGGAGCCCACTGAGCCAGGAGAGGTACAAGGGAAACTTGAAATCTGCTAGAAGGTTTTGCCTCTGGAGCCTTCCATTCAGGGTCTGCAGCGGGCGGTCTCAGGGCAGGAAGGAGGTGAAGGACTGGAGTCTCAGCCTGAAAGAGGAGCACACACACCCCAATCCCATGCCCCCTTTCCTGCCAGCTTCCCATCACTGCAGGCAGAAGAGTTGAAACTCACCCACACCGACCCATGGGGGCAGGGAAAGGGTCACTGATTAACTCAAAAAGGTCACAACTCAGTGGAGGAAGACACAGTGGGTCACAGGCCACAAAACCTGCAAACAGTAACTAAAGGAGGGGTGCAGGGTGCTGTGTAACTCTGAAAGGAAGGCGGACAGAAACATGGAACAACACCCAAACCCAAGGGACCGTGTGCCCCGCCGCTGGGGCGGGATCCGGGATCAGACCACTGAGGATGCTGGGATCCCCGCTAACCAGCCGCCTGCAGCTGGATTTGAAGAGGAGCTCTGGCCTAGAACTTGTCAGTTCCGTCATTACTTGTAATGAGTGTCTAGGCCGGAAGTCTCAACAAATGTGGCAGTCCTGAGAAGAGTGACCAGACACTGCTTTTGGAGACAGGGTCTCTCAAGTGACCCCAGGCCCAGCCTGCACTCACTACACACACACACACACACACACACACACACACACGCACACTCACTAACCAAACACTTGTTTGTGTTTGCTTTTTTGTTTTCGAGACAAGGTTTCTCTGTGTAGCTCTGATCCTTGCTCTGTAGAACTTGCTCTGTAGACCAGGCTGGCCTTGAACTCAGAGATCTGCCTGCCTCTGTCTCGGGAATACTGGGATTAAAGGCCTGTGCCATCACTTCCCTGTTTACCAAACACTTAAAAAACTTACCTTAATGAACTTAGGTCAAATATTTATGACAATAATTTTATACAATTTACCATAGCCCAATATTGAGCTTTTGAAAGGGAGTGGGTGAGAGAGGTCCCTGAGTCTATCAGGGGGGTTCCAGAATGTGAACACAGGGTCTGGGACAATCAACAAATTTGGAGTATACAGCACTAGGAGGAAGAGGAGTGAAGGAATTGGCGCGGGACCCGATCACAGGAGTCAGCAAGAGGGGGCCACTGGCTAAAGAAAAGTGACCATCTAGGGCAGTGCTTCTCAATCTGTCAGGGGTCGCCTGTGAGATACGCTGCATATTAGACATTTGCATTACGATTCGGAACGGTAGCAAAACGACAGTGATAACGATGCAACGAGCATAATTTTACAGTTGTAAGTCACCACAGCACGGGGAACTGTATGAAAGGGTCGAAGCATTAGGAAGGCTGAGAACCACTGGTCTAAGGAGACCCAGAAAGGGGCCGAGGGGTCTCCATAGGAAGGTGGCTCTGCAGGACGCGACCGCGCGCTTAGGAGAGCCATGGGAACCCAACGATTGCAGCCCGCGGCACCCGCAGAGTGGGGGTCGCCCGTGGCTCTCAGGGCTCAGTCAACAGAGGGGTTCACTCACCCAGCGCCCCTCCGGGCGTGTAACAGCAGGGTTCGGGGCAGCGCAGAGAGGGGCAGCATCTCGGAGGGTCTGAGGGTCTTGTCCGACTGTTGGAAGCTCCCAGCCAGTCCTGCCGGGCAGGACTAGCCAAGCCCGGAGCGCACCACCTCTGCGGGAGGCGCAGCATCGCCCGATTCGCCTGCTTCGGGATCTCTGTACGGATGCCCCTCCTGCCAATAAACATCGGCCTAATTTAACATGAAAAAGGCCGCTGTGAACTTCGGGACAAGCGAACCAGGCAGAAAAGCCCTGAAACATATGTTTTCTTCGCCTCTCCTCCTCCCTTAATAGTATGACCCAAGGAGAGAGAGGGCGTGAGACTCGCCGACCAATCAGAGCCACGCGTGGACGCCTCCCGGCCAATTATCAGGACCCGCAAGTTGCATCCTTCTTAGGTCGGGCTGGGAGAGTTGCAGGAGCCAATGACAGATCCTGCAGAGAGCACGTGCTCAGTGGTAGACAGCGCAAGGGGACCAGGCCCCTCCACAGGTGCAGCGGCCCTTAGCCGCTGGAAGGCTGGCCATCTGCGCGGCACTACACTACTCTGCTCGAGCCCGAGGGGCCACACTAAGGCCAGCTCCCGCCGCCACCCCGGGGCTGCCACCCCGGATGGAGCCCAATCTTCTGCCCTCCGCCTACCAGCCTGGCACAGGGCCAAGCCAGCTGCCAGGGCTTGCTTCCTTTCAGATTGGAATCAGTATGAGATAAAAAACCCTAGCGGGCCTGTACTTATCGGTTTCTTTCTTTTCTTTCTTTCTTTCTTTCTTTCTTTCTTTCTTTCTTTCTTTCTTTCTTTCTTTCCTTTCTTTCTTTCCTTCTTTCCTTCCTTCCTTCTTTCCTTTCTTCCTGTCTGTCTCCCTTCCTTTCTCCCCCCACCCTTTCTTTTCTTCAAAGCCTCTGGCCACAAAAACCAGTTGTTCCTGCCTCTGTCCCTCTGCCCCCGGATAAAAATTTCAGCTTTCTGCATGAGAAGTTGTCTGATGAACACTCGAACGTATTAAAACTACTTCCGAGGCCTGATGCCTGCAGGAGCCAGACATATATTCCTAAAATGCCAGATACCGGCTTACTTGGTTCTATTGATGTTTCTATGACTAGGGCATTTACTGTGGGGCCCTTGTATCCAATTCCAGTTTGATACCACACCCTGGGTGAATTAGGCTCAAAACACCGTGACCAACAAGCAAATAGGGAGGAAAGGGTTTACTTGGCTTAAATTATTTGGTCCAAATTCTCAGTTCATCATTGAAGGAAGTCAGGGCAGGAACCTGGAGGCAGGGGGTACTGATGCAGAAGCCGTGGAGGGGTGCTGCTTGCGGGCTGCTTTCTTACAGAACGTAGGACCACCAGCCCGGGAGTGGCACCATCCAGAATGGGCTGGGCCCTCCCACATCAATCACTAATTTAAAAAATGCCCAGGCAGTGGTGGCACATTCCTTTGCAGCACTTGGGAGGTAGACACAGTTAGATCTCTGAGTTTGAGGCCAGCCTGATACACGGAGTGAGTTCCAGGCTGTGTGTGTGTGTGTGTGTGTGTGTGTGTGTGTGTGTGTGTGTGTGTGGTGTCTCAAACAAAACAAGAGGAAGAAGAAGGAAGGAAGAATGCCCCTCAGGCTTTTGCCCACAGTCTGATCTTTTGGGCATTTTCTCAGGCTTGGTTCCCTCCTTTCAGATGTCTCAGCTTAAGTCAAGTTGGCATAAAAACTCTCCAGTACAGCCCCTCTAGGCTTTAGTTTCCTTTTCTGTAAAATAGGCTGATAACACCCCTGTCACCTTGGGCTCCTCCTTCTCCTCCCAATTACACCACTTAAGACACTTTGGGAGATCTGGGTGGGAAAGAGCACTACGTATGACAACCACGTGGCCGTTCTTCTCCGTCCTCGAAAAAGACAGTTCCCAGTGGAGTGATGTCACCTTTGAATGTGAAATGGGGGCTTTGTGGCAGGAGGGACCTCAGCTTCAGGCTAGATGGTGCCAATTAGCCTGGGATCTCTATGGTCCTCTTCTGTCTAATCCTTCCTGCTTTATCTCCTTCTGGGAGAGTTTTTTGTGGGTTTGTTTGTTTGTTTGTTTGTTTTAGTTTTTTATGGGGGGGGTGGTTTGGTTTCTTTTTTTAATTTTTATTTTTATATTAATTACAGTTTATTCACTTTGTATCCCAGCTGTAGCCCCCTCCCACCCCCTCCCAAAGCTACCCTCCCTCCCTCTTCTCTTCCCATACCCCTCTCCAAGTCCACTGATAGGGGAGGGCCTCTTCCCCTTCCATCTGACCCTAGCCTATCAGGTCTCATCAGGACTGGCTGCATTGTCCTCTGTGGCTTGGCAAGGCTGCTCGCTCCTCAGGGGGAGGTGATTAAAGAGCCAGCCACTAAGTTCATGTCAGAGACAGTCCCTGTTCCCCTTACTAGGAAACCCACTTGGATACTGAGCTGCCATGGGTTACATCTGAGTAGGGGGTCTGGGTTATATCCATGAATGGTCCTTGGTTGGAGTATCAGTCTCAAAAAAGACCCCTGTGCCCAGATTTTTTGGTTCTGTTGCTCTCCTTGTGGGGCTCCTGTCCCCTCCAGGTCTTTCTATCTCCCCCTTCTTTCATAAGATTCCCTGCACTCTGCCCAGTTTGGTTTCTTGAGGCAGGGTTTCTCTGTGTGGCCCTGGCTGTCCAGGAACTTGCTCTGTAGACCAGGCCGGCCTTGAGATCCAACTACCTCAGCCTCCCAAGTGAGTCGCCACTGGCTGGCACTCTAGAAGACCTCACTGTGAGATGAAAATAGGCAGTTCCCTATCTTACCGCTGACTGGTTAGTAAGTTTGCCTTAGTCTTCTTACCCCTCCCGCAACCACCAGGACACAAAGAAGCATACACCATCTGTTCTAAGACATTTTACTTTATTTAAAAGAAGCCAATATACAGGATATAAAGGGCACAGTATTTACAACAGTACAGTAAACAGGTTGGTTTTCTGGTAGGGTCAATAGTCTTTTAATGAGTACAAACCCCTCCTGGTGATTGTTAGACCCAGCTGACAGACACAGCAACCGTGGAATAGGATGGGACTAAAAACCAGGTAGATGCTACAGTGTGCATAAAGGGGTCATCGTGGGGAATTCACCACTTTTCTTTGAGAGCTTGGGAGGGGGCTGGAAAGGTGAGGAGTTTGCCTAAGACTCACACACAACCCATGCTGAGCCTGAAAATCTTCACTCATGGAAAAATCCCCTCTCAGAGAGGGGCTTTGCTCAGACCCCTCTCCACATCCCCTCTAGGTGATTGCCCTTCTAAAGCCAAGCATGGGGTCCCAGAGGGAGGACCCAGGTCTGAGGAAATCCTCCAGTGCCCTGGTCCTTCATCCGGGGAGCAGAGGCTGCAAGCTCGACCTTGGCCTGGAGTAGACACAGACAGGACTGAGCTCCTGGGTCCCTGCTGTACCTGTTCCAGCTGCCTGACAACTTCAGACACAGTAAGGTCCAACCCCACCCACAGTGCTTCCCTACTCTCTCCACACAGCTGAGTGGGGGCAGGTCTTGCCAGAGCCTACCTCTGAGGGACCTCTCCTGCAGTCTACCTGCCCCTCCCTCCCCCCACTGTCCCACAGCTCCCTTCCAAGGGGCTGAGGAGGGCTGAGGAAAGAAGGGGGTCACTGCCACCCCAGCTGTCTGCAGATGCCCAATGAAGACGGAAGGCAAGGAGAGGAGAGGAGCACACTCAACAAGGACAGTGGCATCTCATCCACGGCAAAATGCTGGGCCACCACCACTACCTACCCTAGATTAAAAACCTTTTCCTTTCATAAAAATAGAGTCTCTTGCTTTATAAATAGAATACATTTAGCTTAAGTTACACCTTATCTTATCCATTAGCACCCCCCTTCTCCCCCACCCCAAAGTCAACGTGGCTTGAGTCTCCATAGTCATCTGAGCTCTACCCCAGAACACAGTCCAGTCCAGACACACTGCCACAGGAGATAAAACTCCTTCCCCATCTTTCTCATTTGGAGTCTTAGAGGAGTGTGAGGGGTGTGTGCATGTGTGTGTGTGTGTATGTGTGTGTGTATTTCATGACCAACCAGGGACCTGAAAGGATGCTGTCTCCCTGCCATGCCTGTGTCTATGACCTCCAAACTAGGAGCGTGACCAAGGGCAACATGGAGAGCCCATCGGAGAAGCCCTGAAACTCCAGTGTCAATATGACACTGGGCTCAGAAATAGAAAATTCAAAAGGAAGTATGTACAAGTTTACAAGGATGGACAAGGTCGTCCAGGCTGGGCAGGCACTGCCCCAGAGAGTGGTGGGGTCTTTCTTGGCAAGCTGTGGGCTCACAGTGAAGGGACAAGCAGGGCCCACTGGCATTGAACTAAAAACAAAAATCAAAACAAAGAAAGAAGGCCAGGCCCAGACCCCAGAACCAGCCCAGGAGGCACACCCACCACAGCCTTGCTCTTCTCCCCTCATCCTTCTGCCTCAGCACTTCACTCCCCAGGAGAAAGCAGACTTTGAAAACTAGCAGGAAGGAACCTATTGGAGCCTGCCTTTCTCATACGCCCTAGACAAATGACCTATGTATACAGTTCGGAAAGCAAAAATAACACCACAGGACACCAACTTCCAGGGTAACCTTCGTCACCCCAAATGTTTATACTGTTGCTTACTGTCTTAACTCTAGAAATATGTGTCACCCCACCACCACCTGATGAACAATTAAGGGCCAGCTTCTACTCTGCCTGCCCATCCCCTAGACTCTACCACTGGATAGATACCTTCCACTGCCTCAGCTGAGGAGACCCATGGGGGCAGCCATCATCCTGCCCTCATGGAAACGGAAATCTTTACAGCAGCTAAGGTCCAGGCCCATTTGGCGCTGATACCCTTTGGTTAAAATAAAAACAAAACAATAATATCAATAACACATAATAATAATAATAATAATAATAACAAGGAGCAAATGAACCCTGTAACCTTTAAAAGAAGGGTTGGTGAGAAAGGGGGGCGGGGTGAGGGAACAGGCTGTGTCTCTTCCCAAACCATTGTCCCTCCAAGTACCTGCCAGAAGGGACTGTTTGGCCATCAAGAGATGATAAGGAAACCCTTGCAGCCAGGCTGCACAGGGACCAATGGGATGCCCCTTCCCACACAATGGGAAACATACAAGAAAGGCCACCAGATTCTGATAAATTACATTAAGAAGTCACCAACAAACACATTCTCTTCTCTTCTCTATACATACATATGCCTATTATATACACTGGTT